ATGACATTGTATCGAGAAACTGTTTCGGTTGGATCACGTATGTTGTAGTCACTACATTTTCTATTAAACGTTTCACTTAGGTACCAGACGAAGCGCTTTCGCTCGAAACGTTGAAGTTTGTTCTTATACTCAGTTAGTTGTATGAAGCAGGCAATAAACAGCTTTTTCTCTTCTTTGTGATGTTCCATATAGGTATACGCTCGTCGTGCAGGAAAAACACAAGGTGCAAATGGAATGGGAGAACAACTGGTTAAATCAACTTCCTGGTATACTAGAAAACGAAAAGAATCTAAGAGGTAAATTACAGTTCTTGAAGAAACAATTAATAATTCCTAAATTATTATTTTAATTATTTTTAATGCTGCTTATTGTGAATTTTCAGGCCATGTAAACTCCAAGCTGAATGCAAAATTTCCTCTTCTTGTATAACAACTACGCCAGAGCCTGATTGGGTAAGGCATTGCCGTTGTCCTTCTACCGATGGTAAGGAATGGACTCCGAGCAAATGGACTGATGATTCTACTACTTCGCCTTACAAAGAACATGGTAGCAAGACAAGTGAGGTTCTAGAACTGTACAACAGCGCATTCAGTAGATTAGCCGCGAACACAGGATTAGGTAAAATAACACCTTTAGAAAGTAAGCTTAACACTAAATGGAAAAAAGCCAGCAAAAAGGTAAAAAAGCTTGCATTGATAGGGCAACTGAAGCGTGTCGAGTGGTTTGTGAAGCCATTGCACCTGAAGATGGAGAAAAATTATTTGAGGCTGTAAGGAGTCCAAACGAAGATATAAGCGAGGAGTTGCGTTTGCTCATGATTGCACATCGAGATGCACCAACAAGAAATTTAAAAACCCAAATCATTAGTATCTATGCCTACCGTTTTCCAACAAAATAGTTGATCGAGCTGCACAAACCTTATGGGAATGTCACAAACTGGCATATCAAGAGAGCTAGAGCCCATGCGACTGGTGTTGTCGTCCACGTGAACCACTGCATAAAGAAACCCAACATCGAGTAAGAATAGAAAAACCAAACTCGACCATTTCCTAGAATTCGTGAATCGCCCATATTTTTACCAAGATGTTTCATATGGAACTCGGAAGTTAAAACTTGATAACGGGGAAACAATTACTATGCCAAATATCATTCGAACCGTCACTCGATCAACGATCATTGGCTAGTATTTTGGATGTTGTAAAGAAGAAGATTTTTCGCCAATAAGCGAAAGGACGATGTACAAAGCACTGAAAGTAATGGAAGCATCAGAGCGAAGATCATTGCACGGTCTTGACAATATTGCAGCTGACGGCGCAGCATCATTTGTCACTCTACAAAACATTATTGACGATCTTGAGCCGGCTGGTGGTGAAAAGACCGTATTGAATGACCTACGAAAAAGAGTCAGGGAGGAGGAGATATTATTTGAAAGCAGAATATAAAGTGCATTGCAAGTTGGAAGAAAACGAATCCGCAGATCATTGTCGTAAATTTGGTTTGAGCGACCCTCGCGACAAGGATTTTCAGTGCAGCTGTAGTCATAGTCAACATAACATTCTTTGCGATAACCGTGAGGATCTGAAAGATTTGTTTAAGTATATATTTGGAAGTAATAATTACCGATATGCCAACAAGATTCTATAATCCTGACCAGAAGGACGACTTGTTGCATGATCTTGAAGAAGGGAAGCAGCTAATATTGGGATGGAAAGCGCATGCCTTACGATCCATAAACCAGGAAGCAGCAAAGACGAAAATCATAGATTCAATCAACATTCTGCGCTAGTAGTTATGGATAGAGCAATGAAGTTTCTCCAAACAAGATACCGAGAAAAGCAGTCCGTTTGGTTTGCCAAGAGGGGCCTTAGCTGGCATATCAGCAGTGTAATTTGTAAAAGAAAGGACGAGAATATACAAGTATTCTCGTAAGCTTACCTTTTCGACACCTGTACCCAAGACTGGTATGCGGTAACGTCCATCCTAGAAAACTTACTGCAAAATATACGGAAAGAGTTACAAATTACTAAAATGTTCTTGAGGTCGGACGAAGCCGGCTGCCATCACAATAACAGTTTGGTTGCTGCTGTTCGGGATATTGGAGATAATGTTGGAGTTAAGGTGTGTGGATATCATTACTCTGAGCCAAAAAATGGAAAAGATGTTTGTGACAGGATTTTGTGTCCAATGAAACTTGCCAGAAAGACGTATTGCAATGAAGACAATGATATACTTTCCGCCAGTGATATGACGAAAGCGTTAACAGAAAGAAGAGTGAAAGGAACTGCCGCTTGCGTTAACACTATCAGCGAGGCAAACAAAAGCCTTGAAATAAGAGATATTCCAAACATCAATGCATACCATAATTTTAATTACGAAAAGGATGGAATAAGAGTGTGTAAAGCCCATGGCATTGGCCCTGGGAAGTTGATAAAAAAATATGAAGACATATACGCAACCCATCAGTCTTCTACAGCAATGTGCACGAGAAGTTAAAAATCACACCCATCTGGATGAAGAGGAAGAAGCAGATCCGGACCAGTTACTATTTCATTGTCTTGAGCTGGGGTGCACATTTTCATTCAAATCGTTTAATGAGTATAATCTTCATATGGTTGTGGGGGACCACGCCAATACTTCTCGCGGGACAGAAAGCGTCTACGAAAAGATTAAACGCGATTGGGGAAGAATATTCACGACACTCTCCTTAATCACCAAAAACAACCCAATAGGTCAAAGAAAAGACGATGATTCATCAGTATCTTTAGTAAAAGGGAGCACTCTTTGCTGTCAACGCTATGTACTAGGTACAGGGTGGGCGCTAAAACAATAAATGTTGAGCATTACCTTGAGGCAAGATATTTGGCCGGAGAAAAATCGGGTCGATAGGCAGATCCTATCCATGTGGTTGCGGACATGCGCACAGCAAGAAATGAGAACGGTGACCGATTGTTTGCAAGACATGAGTGGTTGAACGCGTTACAAATTAAGTGATTCTTCTCAAGAATGACTGCAAAGAAAAGGAGACAGAATGATGCTAAGAGCGATGATTTATCTGACATTGACTTTGAGTGCCGAGAACACGAAAGTGAACACACTACCGAAGTAGAAGAGGTCCTTGAAAAAATTTCCGTCAATCACCCAATTATGTATGATATCTACGATCTCTGTGAGTATTACCAACAGCGTAAAATCTCCTCTTTCGGAGTAAAGAAGTTAAAGAAAATTTGTAAACATTTCTATCTTTTATTCAAGTCAAACGACCCACAACAAAATCTGATTTCCAAAATCGAGGTTATGATCCTAGAATGCGCTTATAACAGAGACAAAATATAAACTTGCAACAATAATACATTCCTAGTAATCTAACAACCCTTCTCGGCAGTCGACAGTGGTACATCCAACAACAATGCTGTCGCAACACTATGCTAGAAACTAATTAGTACCACTTCGCCAGTTATAGACTAAAATGACTTTTCGGAAAAAAAATTGTACATTGAAATTAGCCAGCGATTGCTCGAGGATGTATTTATACAAATTTTCAAAATTGTTCAAGGCGGAAAAATTTTAATGTAATCACCTATGTTACAGTGATATGTTGTATATCCCACACGTATATCATTAGGGTTAATTTTAATTAAAATTAGCTCGGATCAAACAAGAGAGTCGCCAGGCATGCTTTCTTGGTCAGTTGTTCTTAATTTTTTTCCAACATTATTAACATTATCTGGTTAATCCAAAGCTTAAAATGTCCCCAGTAACAATGCGTGACTCCAACTCTAATCAGCTCTTATCTCGTTTGACCAAACAACATTTGGTCAGCGGTCGCACTCTCAATTTTCAAAACAAAACATTTTAAAACTGCTTTCATTGCAAAGCATTATTTAAGTTACTAAACACAGCTTTGTTTTAGTTCTAATGAGCGTAAATGGATCCCAGTTAGTTTCACTTTTCTTGAATGCAAAGAGTAGGCTGCGTTTCGTAAACAAACAAAGGAAGCAGAAGGGATGAACAGTGTAAAGCAAAGGATTTTCATGGCATAATGTACGTTGTGTGACAACATTTGTACCTTATAATCGAACATATCTACTCAACAAAACAAATGGTGAATGCAATCAGTGATCTGGTGACTTTTCTCACGTTAATTGCACTAAGTTGTGAACCAGTATTGCAATCGTGACAAAGCTGGAGCAATAATAAGGTAGTGTTGCACTGGACCAAGAACTCTTGTAAACAAAGTACACAGCCGAAAACGTCATATGTTTTACCGAATATAACAGGAAAGTGAGACGTCAACCGCATAATTTTGTGTTTTGTACTTTTCAACGAATAAAATTCCAATTTATAAAATGTTTAGAAATATTCAATAATATACACATAAGACACTGTTCTTTCGATGTGGTGTTTTTTCTTTTACAACAGTCGCACTATTTCTTAAGACGAAGCCATAAAAGATGCTGCATTTTCATTCTTACAAAATGGCCGCCAAAGGTTAATTTCGCTAGTGATATTCAATAGAAGATAAAATATTTTAAATATGGATTTGGAAAAACTCGTATGAACGAACATACATGATTTTTACAAAAAAATATCCGGACATAACATATTTCTTTCGTGATATTTTTATATAACTATCGGGTTCAGTTAATTCTTTCCTCTTTGTTTTTGTAAACTTCAAAATTTGGTATCGAATTGGGTTTTTTTTGGGGGGGTGGCCCTACTTTGGTCTTACAGGGTGGGGTCAAAGTTGAGTGCCTGTAATACTGACATGCATTAAAAATAAACGTTTTCTATAGCTCGCATTAGACATATGTTCGGTGTCATGTTGTTGTGTCAAGAAACAAAGGTTGTCTAACAATACAATACAGTATTACTGTAATCAATTTTTAATGTGCGCTAAGTGGTCAAAACGTGCAAATTTTTCGTTACGCAAAGTTTAATATCTATGACACAATGACTAATTGTGTATGGTGAGAAAAAAATATTAACATATTTGACGTGATTGATATGCTCCCATAACTGCCAGTGCATTTGAAATCGAGGGCCTTGTGTTCCACCATATCTAAAACTTGCCGATATATCTTCAGTCTAGGTCTGGTTAATGATTTTTGGCCATGAAGACATTTTTCCAGTACCTGGGTGAAAACGTTTGGTGCACCATGAGCCATGGCTCTGATAATGCCATATTGTAAAGACAGCAAGGACAGTGATTTTTTTAAGTAGCTTGCAAGGGTGGGTAGTAGCGAAGTAGTTGTAGTTCGCTACTGTAGCGAACTACAATTTTCAAGTAGCCAGTAGTTTTTGACTACTTTTTTAAAACAGTAGTTGTAGTTATAGCGAACTACATTTTGCC